GGCGGCGGCCAGTTCCGCTTGCTTTTCTTCGCCGTGCCGCCCTCGCTCTGCCCTGCGATTGGTGCTGGAGATCAGCCCGTTCAAAGAGAGCCCGGCGCGAAGCGGATCGCGCCGACCGCGGCCGCGCGGCCGATCTCGGAAGTGCACGTGGAGTTCCGCGCGTTTTTGGACCACGCGGCGCGCGTCGACGCTTCCACTTCGTGGCCCAGCCGCGCGCGCCGCGGCGCGGCCGGCATTCTTCGGCGCGGCCACTGGCGTCGCATCGCGCACGCAGTCTTCCGCAGCCCGGCTTGGCCGACGGGCGCCGCCAGGTTCGCCGTGTCTATGGCGCGCAAGTTGCATTTCCCACGCTCGATCTGGCGGGCGACGATTGTCGCGCGGACTTCCGGGCGCGGGCAAGTCGCGAGCGGCGAGCGTCGAAGGCCTCGCGGAAACAGTCCATCGCGATCTGCGTCGGCGACTAGCGCGACGCAGCGGGGCACTTCGACGCCCGCGCCCACGCCTCGACGGCTTCCTCCCAGAAGGGCGCCTTTGCGCGCGAGGGCTCGGGTCCAAGTTTTAGAAATCAGCGCGCGCGCGTTTCTTGAGCCGCGTCGCCGCGTGCCCCAGCGGGTCGGCGGGCGCGTCGGCGGGCGCCCCCGCGGGGGGGTCGCCGAAACGGACGGATCATGGCCATGGGCAGCCGGCGACATGCGGATCGGCCTCGGGCGCTCGCCCTCGATCGGGCCCGAGCCGCCGCTCGCGCGCGCGCGCCGCGAACATCTCGGCGAGATCACCGTGGCGCCCCCGGCCGCCTCGCCAGTCTTCGAGAACGATGGGGTCGCCGAAGTGCTCTTTTAGGCGGGCGTGTCCGACGCGCGCGGCGAGTTCTGGCGCGTCGCCGCGCGGGGCGGCGCAGCCCGCGGGGCGCGCGAGGCGAATGGCGCCTGCCCCCCGGCCGCGACCAAGAGGCGCGGAGCGCGCGGGCGGGGGGGGGCCTTCTCGCGCGCCGCGACTTCCAAGAAAGAATTAGGCTCTGACTCGATTATCAAGGTTGCCCTCGCTTCCGACGCGCTTGCGGCCGAAGGCGTTGAACCGCGGCGGCGCCCGTTCGCCGAGCCCTTCCCATGCGGTCGCGAGCGCGATTCGCCGCAGATCCGCGCGCCCAGTTCGCGGCGCGTTCAGGGGGGCGCCCCCGCCATGTTTAACGGGGCCCTTGTGTCGCAGAACTGGCGGCGGCACCCAGAACCTGTCACCGCGTGAATGATTATTTACATTTCGCCCCATCGATATCATCCTTTGTTTGTCGTTGGTAGGGCCAACGCAGTTGAAACAGGTAGTGGGCATCGCGTGCCCTGACCGGCTGGCCAGTTTCGAATGCCACCTCCAGGTGTATCCGCCCACCCCGTCCACCGTCCCAGGCTGATCTTCGGCATGGCACAAGCCATCCGGTTGCTTTGCTGGCGTGCGCCCCCGGATTGGCGGTGTTTCATCAGAGCGGGTACGTTCAGTCCGAGTGTGTTGGCACTTTGTCGACTCGACGCCGCGTGGATGAACATGTTCGGAGGTTGTTGGCTCCTTCGAGCGAACAATATCGATGAACCTTCGCAGGCACGCGTCCGATTGGTTTGTGTCCGTTCCCGCGCCGCCCCAGTTGTTGCGCGCCTGTAACCCGCTGTGCCGAAGACCCCGTCAATCAATACAAGACGGGCAATTGTCGTACAAGGTGTTGTTCTGATGGTTCCTATGCTCAGGGGTCGTCGCGCCATTGCCACGTCGGCTGGGGCGCGGGGGCGGGCGGGCGGAAACGCCCGCGGGAATGGTGTGCTGTTTCGCTGGGCGCAGGGAAGGGGCGGAGGAACTCACGGCAGGTTGCGCCGCATATATCCAGCGATCACCCAAACGCGGGCGTCCAGGGTATATTGCCGCTGGTGGTTTAGAATGGGCGGGTGTCGGACGGTCTGCACCATCGGAAAGCGGCGATCGCCGAACGTTGAGCGATGTTTCTTCGTCAGAGACCAATGCCGATTCGCTGCGACGTGAACAAGCCGTAGTAATTGAATGACATTCGGTTGCATGTACGGGCAGGTCAATGGTGACCGTTTGGTGTATTTCTTGCCGTTTAGTGTGCTCGTTGCCGTTTGTTGTGCCCGTTTCCGTTTGAAAAGCGGCAACGAGTGGAGGAGGAGGTGGAGGTATAAGTGGAGTGGAGGTGGTGGCGGTGGCAAACAAACCACCGCAAAACATGCCAAACGTAAACGCCTCAGAAAAACATAAGCCCTGCGCAGTAATTCGGTTGTTCGCCTCGGGACGCCCATGGGCTGGGTAGTCGTTCTCGCCGTCCTTGCAGCCGTGGCCCCCACGACGACACACTGGGGGCGCGTCGCTTCGAGGGCGGGGGCGGGGGCATGTGGGTTCCGGCAGGATGACAAACAGCAGGAGGAGGCATAGGACGCTGGAGAGGCATGCCTCCACAGACGCAGGCCCGGGAAGGACAAGGTGACACGCAAGCGTCAGCAGCAGGAGGAGGGGGCAGATGATCAGGCGGACTGCAAGGGGAACTTGCGCCGCGCGCGCGCCAGCGCGAGCTCCGCCGGCCGTGGAAGCAGGCAGCCGGCCGGAGCCACCCGCATTCCAGGGTTCGAGAGCCAGCGGATCTCGGGGCTCGCCTCGGGTTCTCGTGCGCGTCGTCGTCGTCCTCGCCCCCTTCCTCCCAGGAGCGAGCAAGACACGCACGTGTGCACGATGTTTCGTGGGTTTCGAGAGTATGCGCTGCGCGAGCGTTCGCAGCACGAGGCTGGCCTCGCGGACTGGGAAGCCGTACTCATGCACACGGTTGTTCAGCAGCCTCCTCTCGTTCTCGTCCCCAGCCTCCTCATCCTCCCCGTCCTCGTCCCCAGAATTACTGCTGCGCTCGCTGCGGGCAACAGTGTCTGGAGCATCCGCGTGTGAAATGCGGGGCAAGGGGACGAGGAAAACCAGCAAAGTTGTTCCTCCCCCTCCTCCTCCTGCTCCGCCTCCTCCTCCTCCTCCTTGTGCCATGTCCCGCTCCTCCGTCCTCCCTTTCCTTGCCTCCTCCTTGCCTCCCTCCATCGGTAAGCCTCCGAACTCCAAAACATTCGCCCCCCCACCCCGACCCCCGGCGTCCCACCCACCCACATTCATGAGCGCAAACAACACACAACCATACACACAAACACACACACAACCACCACACACACCACCCAGACACACACACACACACACACACACACGCACTCGCACGCGCACGCGCACGCGCACGCGCACACGCACACGCACAAGCACACGCACACACACACACTCACACACTCACACACGCACACACACACACACGCGCGCGCCCGCCCGCACGCACGCACGCACGCACGCACACAGACCCACACACACACACACACACAGACACACACACACAGACAGGCAGACAGAGGGACAAACAGACGAACAGACAGACAGACACACAGGCACACAGACGCACAGACGCACAGGCACAGGCACAAAAACACGCAGACACAGAGGCACACAGTTTCACAGACACGCACGCACGCACGCACGCACGCACAACACACAACCACACACCACACACACACACACGCATACGCACGCACAAGCACACGCACACGCACACGCACACGCACATGCACACACACACACACACGCACGCACGCACGCACGCACGCCCGTCAGCCCGAACGCACACACACACACACACACACACACACACACACACACACACACACACGCACGCACGCACACAGAAAGCCACACATACACACAGACAAACGGACAGACAGACAGGCAGGCAGACAGACAGACAGACACACAGACACTCAGACACACACACACACACACACACACACACACACACACACACACACACACACACACACGCACACACGCCGTGCCGCCCCCCGTTCCTGGACCCTCCTCCCATCCCCCCCCCCCTGCTCGACCTCTCTCCCTGCTCCCGCCCCGAGAGCCGCAGACCCGCCCAAGCCCGGCCGATGCGCACGGATGTCACAAGCGCACCCGCACGCGGGCGGCCGCTCCAACAAGAAGGCCCTGCTGGCCCTCATAGGCGCCGCCGGCTCGGCGCATCGCCGCCTCCCTCGGGCGCCGATCGAGACGATTGCAAGGGGCACTCTGGGTGTCTTCAGAAGCGGGGGGGGATACCCCCCCCGACGGGGGTCAACCTCGCAGCATCGTCGTCGTCGCCGCGACGGGGGACCGAGGTATAAGGTCGAGGTCGGCTCGGGGAGGGTACCCCAATGTTCTTCAGTTTGGCCGGTGAGAGGCCCCATGTTCTTGAAGGATTGTCTTCAGTCCTATGTCCGGCTGTACGGAAAGAGTGGGCACAAAGACCGACAGCATGTCTTGTCCGTCTTGGGCAGGACTTCGTTGTCGGCGTCGGTGCGGAAGTTGTCCATTTGAGACAGAAGGCCGCCTGCCCAACAGCGGCCGCTGTCGGTCTTGGACAACATGTGTTGGGTATCGTACGCATTTCTTCCGTATCCATTGCGAGCGTCCAAAGCCGAGGAGGAGAGGAGGGGTGGACGTCAGGGGGGGGTAGGCTCAGGTGGTCATCTTTGGGGATGCCGCCCGCGAGTCCTCTTCCTCTCATCATGCAGGCCCATACGTTCGCAGGTGTGAGCAGCCGACATTATACTGCATGCCGCTCAAGTCGTTGTAGAAGGTCGCAGGTGGGAAAACTCTCACTGAAGACGAGCATCTCTGGAGAGAGCACGTGGAGGCGGCATGCTCGCTCTGATGATGAGTTGACAGCAGCGCAAGCACTCTTCCTCCTCCTCCTCCTCTTCCTGCTCCTGCTCCTCCTCCCCCTAAGCCGTCGCCGCATCAAAGTACCGGCGCGCTGAAGCGTCGCAGGAGGCCGCCGTCGTCTCAGGTTCTCTTTCTCGCGTGTCCTCGGGCGACCCCGCCTCGCGACCGCCTTGGGGTTCGTCGCTCTCTCGCGTGCTCAGCCTCGCCTCTCGTCCTCGCTTGTCGGTCGTCCCTATCTCTTTGGGGCCCCAGGAATATCACGTCGATTCTCCTCCCTCCTCTGCCCTCCTCCTCCTCTCATCTGTCCTGGGAGGGGGAGGGGGCAAGGGAGGCGGTGGTGGTGCATATTTTTTGGCCACCCATCCCTATTTGCGAGCCCTGTTCTCTGCCCTTCCAGTGCGAAGTCGCTCATCATGTGGCGGATGGTCATCTGACCTGACCTGGGAAGACAATCTCCCTCCTGCTCTCCCTGCTGTGGTGGGCGCGCGAGGCCCAGCCTCAGCGTGCTGCCGCCCTCCCGTCGCCCCCCCCCCTCCCTTCCCAAAGCAGAACGGCTCCACCTGCAACGCTGGGCGCCTTCCATATGCACGCGTCCCTTACATGTCTTGCCGCGACTGTGTCGACGTAGTGACCCTTCGCCAGGAGGGCTTTTGGGTGCGGGCTCAGAAGGGGCCCCCCCAGCACTGGCCAGGACGCTTAGACTCGGCCCCCCTTCGCGGCCCCCGAGAGCCACGCACCAAAAGGAGCACTTGCACAGGGTCACCCTGTCGTGTAACGTCCCCCTCTACATGAGGAGTACTCAAAGATAAGATAGTAAAACATAGTCTGGCGACGATGTTTTGATCGTTTCTAAGCATTTTTGGGGTACGATTTTTTTGTTTTATTTCTAATTTGTCACCCAAAATCCGCCTGTAGGAGGACATGCCCTACCAAAGTGTAGCTGAGTGATGTGTCTCATCGCCGGCGGAGGCTAGCATTGCCGCCCCCCGGGCTCCTCCCAGAGCGAGGGAGGCCTGCCCTCTGGGGACTGCATCGGCTCTCGCCGTGCCATTTGCGCCGCGCGTTCAGGCCTCTTCGGGACGATCAGCACCGTGCAGCTGGTTGCCGCGCTGGTTGCTCGGTCGCGCCTGGGGGGGCACCATGAAGGAAAAGGGGTCGAAGAGGGAGAGGGATCCTCCCGAGTTCTTCCTCAACGTATTGTGAAGGCCTTACGGCCGGTGCCGCCGACCTCGAAGACGACGACGACGACGTGGAGGAAGAGGGGGAGGAGGAGCAGCGGGAGGGGGAGGAGGATGCGGAGGAGGATGAGGAGGGGGAGCAGGGGCAGGGGGAGGACGGGGGTGGAAGGAGCAGTAGGAGGAGGAGAATGGGAGTCGGAGGAGCAGGAGGGGAAGGACGACGCGGAGGAGGGGGAGGAGGAGGGGCAGGAAGAGGAGGATGGGAACGACGAGGTCGTTGTAAGGTTGCGCGGGGCTGGAAGAAGGGGGCACAGGAGGAATAGCAGGATGAACAGGAGGAGGATGACGCCGTGGAGCAGGAGGGGGAGGATGAGGAAAAGCATGCGGACGAGGATGAGGAGGGGGAGTTGGGGCAGAAGGAGGTCGAGAACGGCAACGGGGAGATTGAGGACGAGGAACACGAGGCGGAGGAAGAAGAGGAGGAGGGTTCAGGAGCAAGGGGGTGAGGGGATGCTTGTCGGGGTCTCGTCGGAGCGCTTTCGGGGGCCTCTGGTGCGCAGTTTGGGGGCGTGTTGGGAGACCCCTCCAGGGGCGTCCTGGGGGCCTGCTGGGGGCGGAGTGTAGGCCTCTTAGGGCCTCCTGAGAGATTCTCGGTGGCGAGGGTTCGAGATGTCCGTTCGTGTCCCCCGTCTGGGCACCCTCTTGGAGCCGTCTTGGGTGCCTCTTGGCCTGTCTTAGGGGCGTCTCGGGCCGTCTTGAGGCCCTCTTGGGCCATGTTGGAAACCTTTTGGAGGACTTTGGGCCGTCTTGGAGCGATCTTGGGGGCTTCTGGGGCCGTTTCAGAGCGTGGGGCAGCGGAAGAGACGAGAACGCCAACATCCCAAAGGGAAATTAAGTAATGTTGCCAGTGGGGGCCTTCTTGGAGTTGCTCCTGGAGGCCTCTTGGGGCGTTTTGCAGGCCTCATGGGCCTTCAGGAGGCCGTGAAGGCGTCTTGGACAGCAGGTTCGGCGATGCGGGGCCTTTTTGGACCGTCTTGGCGGCCCCTTCGGGCACTTTTTTGGTGACCGGGGAACCCCTGGGAGGGATTGGATGCGTCTTTAGGTGGCGACCCCCTCCCGGGATCTCCACTGGGATCCCCCCCCCTGGGACCCCCCCTGATATTTTGTGGGACCCGAGACCCCCTGGGAGGGATGCGTATCTGCGTGGCGATCGCACCAAGGACCGAGGCGTATCTCCCCCAGGACCGAGGCGTATCTCCCCCGGGACCCCCCCCTCGGACGGGGGAGGGATCAAAGGGAGGGGGTTTCCCTTCGATTGAATTACGACGTTGCACAATTTCGCTTTGTCTGGCGCGCTTGGGGAAGACGGCCCAGGAAAAGGACGGGAGCGGCGACGGGCCCAGGGTAAGCCCTCAGCGACGGCTTCCCCGCTCTGCAGCCCTCTTGGAGCCCTTTTGGGGCGCCCTCTGGGGTTTCTGGAATCCTCTTGGAGCCCTTTCAGGTTTCCTCTTCGAAATATCTGGGGAGATTTTGGAACCATCGAGAGGCCTCAGAAGCCCATCGGATTCGAAAAGGTGAGAGGGCCAACATCATGTAAAGACTTCAGTGTGTTCAATGTTTTCGGCCTCTTGGGAGCGTCCTTGGGAGGCTCCGTGGCCACTTGGAAGGATCTTGTGGCGGTCATGGGGCTTCCAGGCTGCATGTTTGAGGCGATCGCATGGTCTGGACATGGCAAGCGGCCGTGTGGGATGCGTCCTGAAGGTATCGTTGGTAATGCTGGCGACCCCCCCGCTGGGGACGCCCAATGCAAGCCCAATACATCCTCGATCCTCGATCGTTCCCCCTCCTCGGCCCTCGATTCCTACGAGGAGGTGGTGAGCCCTGCTGGTGACCCCCCCCTCCCCCTCTGGGGGGACCATAAAAGACCACGAGAACACAGGCGGCCGCTATGCGGCTATACAGGCTGCGGCCGGGAGTTGCGGCATCCCGCGAAGGATTTGCTGTGGCCAAGTACTCTCCCCTCGGGGACCCCTCCACGGGCGGCCACGCGCCCGCGAACTAGACAGAGCATAATGCCCAAACCGAAGATTCTAGCACGCTTTTCGCTCATGTAGGTGTTGGCCGAGTTGCTCGGTAATTATTGTACTTTCTGGTGCAAGTCCACGCAGATCAAAGGCTAAGGTCGCCGGTGGCTCAACCCAACCCTGACCAGAGCCAACCAGCGCGGACGTGCCGCCCCATGCTTGATGCACGAGACCATCATTGATGTGTGGAAATGGGGGCGCATCGTGTGGCGGGCGGGAGTCGCTTGCTTGGTGTTTCTTTGTTGTTGCTTGCTTGGTGTGGCGACTGGGTGCCAGATTGTCCTTGCTGAGTTCGAAGAACCAAAACGGCATGATCATAATTTCTCGAAGGTCCGCCCGGAGTTCGTGTTTCGGCGTTGAGCCCCCTTGGCGGCGCCTCTGGCGCCGCCCCTGGCGCGCTCCGCGCGCCAGGGAGGGGGGCTCGAATACAGATCCCAGAAATCCGCGCGGACCTCCACTCAATGATGTTGTTGCTGATCCTTGTTGCTATGTTGTTGCTTGCTTGGTGCTCCCTTGGTCGGTGGTCCAGCTTAGTCCCACGACGGGCTGGCCCATCAGAGCTCGGTATGGTGGATTACCAGGAGTCGACCAGAGTGTGCCACGCGGAGAGAGATATGCATGTTTGAAAGCCCTGGAGTACATGCAGCGTCCAGGGCTGGTGGTGTCTGATCACAAAAGCTTCGCGGACGAGGCTGCAAGACGGGAGCCCTGTCTTTCGAGTTCCGCCAGCAAGCACGCGGCGATCTGGAGATATATAGTTTTAGTTATCTGGAGCCGACACGCTTCGTCTGGGTACCTGCTCATAAGAATGTGCTGGATGCTGTGGAGTGTGGTGTATCGGCAGCCCATGTGATGGGCAATGCGTGGACGGACCTGTTCGCCTATTGTGGTGCAAGTGGAATCCAGGTCGCGGACACGTTGGCGGATAACCACAAGGGCCTGCTCAAGTTCGCGACGTCGACGGCGCGCTTCCTCGGCTTCATGGCCTTCCGTGCTGTTCGTACGTACAGGCAGATCGGTGAGGCGCCACAGGCGCCGAGGACAAACCCAGGTCCCGTGATTGCCCCAGTTTTAGTGACTGAGCATGAATTTAATGAGTTTGGGCCAGGGGCCATCCGTTGTAGGCATTGCAGCAAATAGTCAAGGATTCGAGAATCCGCCCCGTGTTCGTGCCCGCCAGTTCTGGGCTCTGGCCATCGGCTGGCCCGGTGGGGAAAAGCCGCCATTTGTGATATTTGTGGTCATGACAGTTTGCAAGTGTATATGGCTGCGAGGTTGCTCAAGGTAGATTGCCTTGGGCCACCGTCTAATCGCTCGACGCTTGCGAACACTCGTCTTCGTGTGCGTAGAGTGAATGCTGGCCAGGACCCCAGAAGCGAGATACCCTTGCTTCCAGAGGCCCCTGTGAATGCTCCTGCCAGCGCTGCAGAGCGCGGCCCAATCCAACCGTCTTGAGGAAACGTCCTTACTGGGGGGTGGGACGGGCTCGGACGGGGTCGGGGGAGTGGAATCAGGCCCTGATCAATTTGTGTGTAGCTGCTGTTAGTTGATGCGCTTCTCCTGCCCAGGGGCCCCCCATTCGCAGGCGTTCGTCCTTGGCTGACGCCGACCGCCCCCTGTCGTTGGATGGGTCTTGGTGTGGCTCGGGCGGCCCTTTGCGTGCTCTGATCGGCCAGCTGGCTGATCTCTTCCGTGGTCGACCTATGGGTTGATATCTTCGTGAGGCCTCGGGTTTTCCTCTGGCCTGTCCTTCCATTCGGCCCTCTTCCGTTCCTATGGGTTCGGTCGGGGCTGCCGTTCTGGACCATCTTCCCCTTCCTCCTCCTCCTCCTCCCTCCTCCCTCCTCCTCCTCCATGTGCTGGCGCGGCGTATCATTCTCACAAGGGGGCGGCCCCCTTTCCCAAACTTGGTCTCCGGCGCGCTGGTCCGGCGGCACTGGGTCGCCACCATTGCGCACGCATGATGCTTATTGGGGCATTCGCACAAGCACGACAGCCCCACATCGGCAACACGCTCCTCGTAGCGCTGGTGACTCTCTTAGGCCAGCATGCCCAAGTAGGCACCAGCGGTTGGATGGAGCATCCCCAGCCTTGCTTTCGGGAGGCGCGAGCCCCCAGCTCTTTCTCTTGGGCTCCCTTGCAGGTGCTGCTGCTGGCGCCCATCACCTGTACGGCAGACATTGACCAACGCGAGTTCGAACAGGCTGCAAAGGCTCCGACGCCGTTCCTCGGCCTCCGTATGACCCAATTCCATGCCTGCTTCACCGACACGCCAGGAAATGGCCGGTGCTCCCACGGCCCCAGAGCGCACCCTGGCTTCCGAGGGTGGGATCCGGAAAAAGCAGGCCTGGCGCACAGCTGAGAAAAACAACAACGTACCTTATGTTGTTGTGCGCCGCCCTTGCACGGTCCACGTGGCTTACCATCAAGGCGCTGTGGGATCCAGACGACGCGTGCTACCCCGAAGATCTTTTTGACCCTGATGATGCTCGGGACGAGCTTTACGCTGGCGGGGACCCGTATGTTGATCACGCCGTCGGTTGGGTTCCGGACTTCGTGGATGCGGGTGCTCGCCCACAGCGTCGCCGTTGCAATCCCGAGAAGCACCGGTTCCGCCCTTCGGGCAGAGGAGACGACCCCGCCGAATTCCTTGCCGAGCTTGGGCCCGATGCGGCGCCCGATGCCGCCACCAAACAGACAGTTGCAGACGATTTGGCATCGGCGGGACTGCCCCCAGAGGAGCCGCCACTGCTAGGCCCACCGCCGCCGGAGTTAACCCCAGCGCAGCGCCAGCGAATACAGGCGAATCGCGCCGAGGCGCAGGCCCGCAAGGCTGCCAGGTTGCAGGCGGCCAGGGCGGCCATGCACTTGGCTGTGGCACCCTGGGTTTCCCAGGGCCTCCGCTTCGATTTCTAGTGGGCCATTTCCCGTGCCAGTCCAACAGCACAGTCTAGTCCCGCGTCTCGCAGGTCGTGGTGCCATCATCCAGTCAGTTTTCGTCTTGGCTTAACGTTTGGGTGTGCCCAGTGGTCAGGGTCCCTCCCTAGGGCTCTCTGGGTGGACGCCGGCGTGTCGCACATCCTGGGAAGGACGCCTGATGCTGGGTGGACGCCGGCGTGTCGCACATCCTGGGACGGTCGCCGGTTGCTGGGTGGACGCCGGCGTGTCGCGCATACTGGGACGGACGCTGGATGCTGGGTGGACGCCATCGTGTCGCACGACGTGCGCATGCCCGTCGTCGAGGAGAAGGCGCACGCAATTTCGACTCCACGGTATACTTCAATGAGGTCTCTACTTTTTCCAAACACGCACTTCTTCCTCCACTGGTGGGGTCTTGAATTTGAGCTGGGCGTGCTTTCTCCAGCGGTTCCTCCTCCTTCTCCTCCTCCTCCTCTTGCCGGCTGCTGTTACGATGGTTGCATTATTATCCTTGTTTGTTTTTCCGCACTGTCGTTCTGAACTACTGTTCATAATTCTACGCATGTGTGCACTTTGTAATACTCGCTCGTGCGCTTAGCGCCGGCCGCCGCCCCCCCCCCCCCCCCCCGCGTTTGCTGCGTTGGGCTGCATGCAGGCTCATGGCCTGGCCGCCCTTTGTCGGGGCGGGCGGTGGATCAACGGAACAAGAGGAACCCACCAGCGGAGGCACGGGGACCGCCTCAATGCCATTCCGGTCCGATCCTCCTCCTCCCTCCTCCCTCCTTCCTCCTCCCTCCCTCCCTCCCTCCCTCCTCCCTCCCTCCCTCCCTCCTCCTCCACCTCCTCCTCCTCCTCCTCCTCCTCCTCCTCCTCCTCCTCCTCCTCCTCCTCCTCCTCCTCCTCCTCCTCCTCCCTCCTCCTCGGATCGCCTACGGCCCCGGGGGAAACCGTACAGTTACTTGCTGCCCGTTTGCTGCTTGCGCAGCGGCTGTGTGGCCCCTGCCCGCGTGGGACAGGGATGGGGAGGGGCTCCATGCTGACGTCGTTCGGTCGGCCACAGAACTCGATGTGTATCGGCGGCGAGCGAGGGCGGGAGGTTAGAAGGAGAAGGCTTTCTCAGAAGGTTCGGAAGTCCCCCCGCCTTCTGAAAAGTGTTCTAAGCCTTCCCCGATGACAACAACAAATTCTGAGAAGTCCCGCCGCCTTCTGAGAAGGCCTTCTCCTTCTCACTTCCCCCCTCGCTCGCCGCCAAGTATAGGCACACCAGCTGCCCAACCTGTGGAACGAACGCTGGAGCGTCTTTTTAGGATCCAGGCCTCCCGAATAGGGTCCGCGTAGATGAGGTCGGAGGATCGCGCCGCATCGCCGATACATCGACGATGCGGCTCGATGTGGAGCCAGCGTTTCTCCACGCCGATGGCGCCGGTGCATCGCCGTGCATTTGAAATGCAACGGCGACGCGGCGCGAGCTTACGACCTCATGCGTTCGGACCCCATCCAGGAGGTCTATGCCCTCTGCCCCGAATGCTTCCGCCGAGCTCCTTGGCTCCCTGGCCGGCCAAGCAGCGTGGCGTGTAGGTCGAGATTCCCCGAGGGCCCTGGGGGGGGCGCAGCGCAGTGAGGCGCCGCCAAGCGCGCAGGTCCGATGCGCTGCTCGTGGACTGCATGGAGATGCTGGCCGCCACGGGGGGGGGGAGAAGGAGGAGCGAGGAGAGAGGAAGAGCGAGGAGAGAGGAGGAGGAGGAGGAGGAGGAGGAGGAGGAGGAGGAGGAGGAGGAGGAGGAGGAGGAGGAGGAGGAGGAGGAGGGAGGACGAGGACGAGGACGAGGATGACGAGGAGGACGAGGAGGACGAGGAGGACGAGGGGGGAGGAGCAGGAGGAGCGAAGAGCGAGGAGCGAGGAGGAGGCGGAGGTGAGGAGGAGAGGAGGAGGAGGAGGAGGAAGAGAGCGCAGGAGGAAGAGGAGGAGGAGGAGGAAAAGAGCGCAGAAGGAGGAGGAAAGAGCGCGCAGGAGGAAGGAGGAGGAGGAGGAGGAGGAGGAGGAGGAGGAGGAGGAGGAGGAGGAGGAGGAGGAGCAGGAGAGCAGCAGGAGCAGGAGGAGGAGGAAAAGAGCGCAGGAGGAGGAGGAAGAGCGCGCAGGAGGAGGAGGAGGAGGAGGAGGAGGAGGAGGAGGAGGAGCAGGAGGAGGAGGAGGAGGAGGGAGAGGGAGAGGAGGAGAAGGAGCGGCTGGTTGGAGGGGGAGGGAGCGGCGACACCGGCACCACCAGGGGGGCCACCTCCAGGGAGGAGATCCACGGTGCCTCCCCGAGCTGGGGGTGCAGCAGGCTCGCGCGGCGACGCCTGCGAAGGCGGTCAAAGTTGAATCTGCGACGCGGCATCACCGATGGGCACGGCGACGCCACTGGCCTCGACTGAATTCAACCTTGAACGGTCGGGGCCGCGATCGATTCAGGGTCGAACGATCGACGCGGTTTCAGGAACTTTTGCGCACGCCGACGCCGTACGAACCTACCGAAGGGGGTGTCTCGAGCGAGAGAGGGGACCATACCACCAGGGGGACCCCCTCCCCCCTGGCTCCTCCCGCTGGTGGTGCCTGGTGGTGGTGGTGTTGCTTTCTCCTTGTTCCTGGGCGGGGTGGGGGGCAGAGATTCTAGGCCTCCCGAATGGGATCCGCGTAGCTGGGGTCGGAGGATCGCGCCGCATCGCCGATGCATTGGCGCTGCGGCTCGATGTGGAGCCCGAGTTTCTCCACGCCGACGGCGCCGATACTTCGGCGATGCATTGGCGATGCGGCGCGATCCTCCGACCCCATCTGCGCAGAACCCGTCCAGGAGGCCTTTGGGGGGGTGGGGGGGGGCAGAGACGGGGTTTCCCGAGCACTCGGGTCCACAGCCATTTCGTTGGGCGGAGGAGGATTTGGCACCCTCAGCCACGGGCCTCCTTACAGGGGGCACGTCGTGTCAAGCTCTGCCGTGACCTCCGACCGCTTCGGATGGAGTCTTTAGCAGAATCTCGACCAGCCTCCACTTCTGCCTGGGGCCTCGGTATGGCAGGGATCGACGAGGACGAGGAAAAGGAAGGAGTGGGAGCTGGAAGCAGGAGTCGAGTTAGCCAGGTCGACCGAGTCGGCGGGCTCTTCCCATTCCCATCCTCACCCCCGCCACATGGGAATCAGTCGTGGCACAGCGTGGCACTGAGAGAGGGAGGCGTCCCCACCTCGCGAGCGGCAGGCGCTCGCGTGCGGTTCAGCTTCCGACGCCCTGGGCGAAGGGAAGGCTACGCGGCCCGCGCGGGGGCGGGGGAAAGCGATGAGCGCGGCGAAGACTCAGAGGCGACGATAGGGGCGAATAGCCCAGGGGAGAGCAATAAATGTACTCAGGTGCGCCGATGATCTGTGTCTTCGGAAAGGCTCCCTGGCGAATACGTGCAATGCCCGCCCCTGGGCTATTCGCCCCTATCGTCGCCGCCGAAAGACGAAGCATGCGCCGCACCGAAACAGCGCTGCCGCTGTCGCTCACAAGCTGCGCGGCGCCCGTGCGAAAACAGAGGTGTTGCCTCGCTCTCGCGCGGACGCGCTGCCGATGCCGCTTGGATGCGAGTCGGCGACCGAGACATGCGCGGCGCCCACGCGAAGTGAAGAGGGCGACACATCGCCTGCTCGCGCGGGGCCCCACAAAGCTCGGCGAGTGAAAGGTATGCGCCGCGCTGGGGCGGAAGTGCCACATTCAACGGGATCTGCGCATCGCCGAGACGAGAGCGATATTCTCGTCCGTTCGCGCGTCGACGAGTTGGCGTGCGAGTAATGCGCGCGGCGCCCAAGCGGGAGCTCCCTGGAAGAATGAGCGTGGAGCCGAGGCGCGAGCGACAGTTCGCCCTTTCGCGGCGGATGTGCGCCCCGCCCCACTTCTTGCCACGCATTGTGCGACGTGGACCACCGAACGTCCAAATTGAGTGTAACATCTCAGATGCTGCTCCGTTTTTACAGGTGGGAGGTCCAGGATCCGGTCGCCACTGGCGGGCCAGGTGACAGAGCATATCCAGTTGCGCTGCCGCGCGATTCCACCACCGCGCTTGAGCGGGCGGGGGGGGGGCCTTTCGGGGGGGGACGGGGCGGGTCCACAGGCCCCCCTGCCCCAGGCTTTGTATTTGGGACTGTCTTCTGTCTGGAAGGCCAAACACGCAAGGGCTTGGCCACAATGAGCGCATCGTGGGCTTGATTGCGAATTTCTGCTTCGCACAACGCGAAAGGGCCCCCCCCCCCCAGCCGCTGCAAGCGCGGTGGCGAGGGGAAGGAAGGATGGCGAAGACGACGGCAAGGAGCAGCAGCAGCAGCAGCAGCAGCAGCAGCAGCAGCAGCAGCAGCAGCAGCAGGGCGAGGCGGAGCGAAGTGGGGCGGAGGCAGAAGAGGTAGGCGCATGCGCAGTAGATTGGGAAGGCCACTAGGAAGGGGGGCTAGCTTCTCTTTGCGAACCCTCCTGCTCCTCATCCTCATCCTCCTCATGTCGCCTTCTCATTTCTCCTCCTCTTCCTGCCCCCGTCCTCCCCCTCTCCACCTTCATCCTCTTCTTTCTCGTTCCTGCTCGGCTTTCCACGGCCCACGTACCTTCAAGACCACGTGCGACAGGCTGTTAATTAACCAGCGACTCGTGGGCGCCCGATCAGGCCTTGCGCACCAGACCCCTCGTGTGGGTTCGCTGGGATGTTTCGATCGAGTTCATCTGGTTGCGGGTGGCCGCGTGGGCTGCACGATTGTTCAAAAGAGGGTTTCTTTGTAGTTTCTTGTGGCTTGTGCGCTTGGAGTTGTCGTATGCTCATACGCGCCTTGAGGCATCACGGGCTCGATGTGCATGAAGATATGCAAAATGTAGAAGTCTCGCGTGTACATGATTATCGAAGACGCCTACGGCGAATCACCGCCCCCCCCTGCGTTTTTGGAAGCGCCTATGTGGCCGGAGGTTGTGGTCAGAGGCCTGCCAAGCTCTCGGACCATGTGTTCCCCGAATCGGTTTGGAAAGCCTTCGGGGAACGCGTGGGCATCTTGAAGGTCATCTTGGCCGTCTGGAGGCCATTCTGACCCTTTCGGGCCTTCTTGGAGGACATCTTGGAGGGCTCTTGGGCCGTCTTGGAGGCTATCTTGAGCGTCTTGGAGACCTCTTGGGCCGTCTTGGGGGCCTCGTGGGGCCGTGTCTTGGGCCTCTTGGACGATCTTAGTGGGCATTTGGGCCGTCTCGGGCCGTCCGAAGGCAGAAACAAAGCAAATGCCACAATCCTTCAAAAACCCATGGCAAATCAATGATTGTGTCCTTTTCGGGCCTTCCTGGAGGCCCTCTTGGAGGCCTCTTGGGCCGTCTTGGGCCATCTTAGGGCCATGTTCGGCCGTCTTGGTGGGCTCCTGGTCCGTCTGACGCCGTCGGAAGCCGTTTGGAATGCCTCCATGGGCCGACTTGGGGCCCTCTTGGAATGCTCCAGGGCCGTCTTGGAGGCCATCTTGGGCGTCTTGAAGGCCTCCTGTGCCGTCTTTGGGGCCTCTTGGGGCCGTCGTGGGGCCCTCTTGGGCCGTTCTGGGGCCATCTTGGAGGCCTCTTGGGCGATCCTTCGGCGATCTTTGGGGGCTCTTGGGCCGTCTCGGGCCGTCGGGAGGCCGAAAAGAGGCAACTGTCAAATCCGTCAAATACCTGTTGTTGGCCTCTTCTGGCCTTCCTGGAGGCCTTTTTGGGGGCCTCTTGGGCCGTCTTGGGCCAGCTTTGAGCCAACTTCGGCCATCTTGGTGGGTTCCTGGCACGTCTGACGCCGTCGGGAGACGTCTTGGGGGCCTTTCTGGGCCGACTTGAGGCCCTCTTGGGGCGCTTCGGGGCCGTCTTGGAGGCCATCTTGGGCGTCTTCCTCTTGGGCCGTCTTGGGGCCTTCTTGGGGCCGTCTTGGAGGCCACTTGGGCCGTCATGGGGCCCTCTTGGGGGCCTCTTGGGCGATCTTGGGGGCCTCTTGGGCCGTCTTGAGCCGTCGGAATGCCGAGAAGAAGCAAATCCCCAAATCCTTCAAAAACCTAAGGAACATCAATGAATTTGGCCTCTTCGGGCCCTCCTGGAGGACCTCTTGGAGGCCTCTTGGGCCGTCTTGGAGGCCTCTGGGGGGCCTCTTGGGCCGTCTTGGACTCTCTTGGGCCGTTTTGGAGGCCGTCTTGGACCATCTTGGGCGGCCTTAGAGGCCATCTTGGACCATCTTGGAGGCCATCTTGGACCATCTTGGCCACTTGGACGCCATCTTGAGCCGTCTTGGAGGATTTTTTCGGGACTCTCCCGGGACCCCGGCGGGACGGGCCGAAGCGCCAGGGGGAGTCCTTTTGGAAAAAGAACCAAAACCAAAACCTAGAGGGTCTAGCACGCCAGGCACCCCTGCGATGAATCGACAGGGGGCGGCGGATCGAAGACGCCTACGGCGAATCACCGCCGCCCCCTGCCTTTTTGGAAGCGCCTATGTGGCCGAACGTTGAGGCCAGACCTGCCAAGCTATCGGACCACGTGTTCCCCGAATCGGTTTGGAAAGCCTTCGGGGAACACGTGGGCATCTTGAAGGTCATCTTGGCCGTCTTGGAGGCCTCTTGGGCAAGCTTTGGGCGATCTTTGGGGCTTTTTGGGCCGTCTCGGGCCAGCTTCGAGCCAACTTCGGCCATCTTGGTGGGTTCCTGGCACGTCTGAAGCCGTCGGAAGCCGTTTGGGGGGCCTCTATGGGCCGACTTGGGGCCCGCTTGGAATGCTCCAGGGCCGTCTTGGAGGCCATCTTGGGCGTCTGGGAGGCCATCTTGGGCGTGTTGGAGGCCTCTTGGGCCCTCTTGGGGCCCTCTAGGGGCCATCTTGGAGGCCACTTGGGCCATCATGGGGCTCTCTTGGGGGCCTCTTGGGCGATCTTGGGGGCTTCTTGGGCCGTCTTGAGCCGTCGGAGAGCCGAAAAGGCGCAAATGCCAAAATCCTTCAAAAACCAAGGGAAAATCAATGATTTTGGCCTCTTCGGACTCTCCTGGAGGACCTCTTGGAGGCCTCTTGGGCCGTCTGGGAGGCCTCTGGGGGGCCTCTTGGGCCGTCTTGGGCCGTCTTGGACTCTCTTGGGCCGTTTTGGAGGCCGTCTTGGACCATCTCGGGCGGACTTGGAGGCCATCTTGGGCCATCTTCGCGATTTTTTGAGGATGTCCCGAGCGAAACGGCCGTTTTTGGGCATTGACAGGCGCATTTTGGGAAATTCGCGGGTGGCCGGCGGGACGGGCCGAAGCCCACTGGGGAGTTCTTTTAGAAAAAGAACCAAAACCAAAACCTGAATCATCCAGCACGCCGTGCACCCCTGCAAGCAGGGGGCGGCGGATCTAATGGCATTCGGCCCATCCCGCCACCGTGCCTGGGTTGTGAGTCAGAGTTCTCAGGGATGCTCTCAGGAGTCTCTTCGGAGCGCTCTCGGAGGCCTCTTGGGGGCAGTTTCTGGTGCCTCTTGGAGCCTCTTGGGAGCCTCTGGGGGGCAGTTTTGGGGCCTCTTGGGGGCCTTCTAGGGCTCCTGGGGGCCCCATCGAGACCGAGGGCTCGAACTCTCCGTTCGGGTTCCCCATCTGGGCCCCCTCTTGGGGCATTCCTGGGGCTCTGTTGGGCCGTCTGGGGGCCTCTTGGGCCGTCTTGGGGCCCTGTCCGGCCGTCTTGGAGCCTTTTGGGCCTCTCGGGGGCCCCTGGGGCCGTCTTGGGGCTATCTTGGGGGCTTCTTGGGCAGTCTTCGACGCTGTGAAAGCCGATGAGGTGAATATACGTACAAAAATCATGTTTTCCCAATGGAATGAGACGATCTATTGCTTCTCAAAGCGCTCTTTGGGCCTCCCCTTGGAACTCTTTTGGGACGTGTTCCTGTTGGGCCGTCTTGAGGCCATCCTGGGCGGCTCGGAGGCTTTTTGGACTGTCCTGGGAGCTTCTCGGGGCCCTCTCCGCCCGTTTGGGGACCCTGTTGGGCAGGGTGACCGTCTCAGAGGCCCACGCGACAGACCCCGAGAGCGCCCACGAGCGCCTGGCAGCGCCTGAGAAACGGGAGGTCCACTGAAGGCACGGTGGCGGATATACGCACACGTATATCGATTTTCGGTGCCGAGCATATCTGCCACCGTTCTTGGGGAAATTACGCAGCCAGGCCGCAGCGAATTCGGTGTGGCATCGTAAGGTTATCGCGTTTCGTCTTATGAAGCCAGCTTGCAGTATGTTACGGTAGGTCGGCTTTTTTTGAGGGGGGGGGCTTTGAGGCCGTTTTGGGG